CGGGCGGGGAGGAACCCGAACGAGGCTACGCCGAAGGGCAGAGTCTCTTTCGGGGAGGTAAACCGACCCTGAAACCGTTTATAGGGGTTTTAAAAGGGGATATTTTTGGCAGAGCCAACGGGCTCGGAGATCCCACGTTAAACCGGCCTTGTGCCACATGATGCCCTCGTGGGGGGTGGAACTGAATATCTCTCTGTGGATCAGTCAGTCGATGCCGGACGACCGTTAGTCGGATACTAAAGTATCAGCGACCACAACTAGATTACTGCGTCGTTACCTATTATATCAAGTTTCTAACGTTTTGTACGTCGAATCTATTTTAGGACCGACTTAGTACAAATACAAGCCTCCACTGTGAAACCCCTCCATAACATTTTGTCACTTGTAAATTTGTTTTTTAATACATATATTTGTTCATATATATATATATATATATATATCGGTCTTGTTTGTTTTGCATCCTTTGTTAAAACACTGCCTAGATATTTATACTTTCAGCGATTACTATAGTTGTTTCGAAATGAACTGTATCGATTACAACCTTACATTAATCCCTTGGCTTTCATGAGATCCACGTGTTAAATTTGGACTGTCTCTACTTCTTACTAAAAAATCAAATTAGATGTTTTTCAGAGAAAGCTTTTTCTCGTAGTTTTAAATAGCACACGGCATATAGTGTGTATTGACTAATTTTATTGTCCTTACTAGCCGAATTTCCCGCGCCTTTCTGCGTGTCACACATTTTTTTTGTAAGAAAATGATGATTGATTTTAAATCATTGTTATAATTTGTGGAGAAAAATGATGCATTTCACTATTACTCAATAATCTTGCTGATGTGACCTCCATCTTCTGGTTTTCTCCTTTTATATTTTTGATAGGAGTCATTCCCTTGTTCAAACTTTAATTTAATTCAAATCAAAGGAAAAAAAATCAGTGAGGAGGTGCCAAAATAATGAAATAGTAATTAGCTACACGGGTATGTCTTTTAAATTCATTTACAGTCTCTCGTATATGAATTTATTGAAACTAAATTGGTCACAAAGTGAGGGATCAGTTTATATGGTGATTGTAATATAGATTTAACCCTCACATTTATATAGATATTATAATTTCTTGTTAGTTTATGATATTCTGATTAGGTCTGAATACACATCTTCTTCCTATGGAAAACTTTTATCACTAAACCATTATTATCTACAAACTTAAAAAAATAAACGCACCGACTGCTAACATTGAAGTACCCTGTTTGCGTGAATAATTTTAAGAAATCTTCAGCTGTTAGGTGTTAGAATAAACCTATATTTCAAAAGAATAAGTATTTGGGGCATTTTTCACTAATGGATGTGGGTGGTTTCCTGGTTGTTGAAGACTGGAGATGATTTTCTTGTTATTCAACACTCAAAGTGTGCAAAGAGAAATGTCGGTCGGGAGATCAGTTCAGCTGATCGAATTGAGAAGTGGATGAATGAGAGAAGATTAAGAATAAGTGAAAAGGGAATGAGAAGAATGCGGTGCGGGGGGAAGAAAAGGAAAGGCGAATAGTACGAAGGAACTGGAAGCAACAACTCAAAGACGGAAAAGAACAGAAAAAGGAATTATAATAAAAAAGATTATGAGTGAAGAATAGTAAATGAGCCAAATGGTTGAAGAAGGGGGAAAAGAATAACAGAAAGGAATATATGCTTATATATAAGAATGGAAAATAAAATGAAAAGAAAGAAAGAAAGAAAGAAAAATAAAAGAAAAAAACAAGCAAATAAATAAAAAAAGGAAAAACGAAAAGGAAAGAAAAAACAAACACACAAAAGAAAGAAAGAAGGAAAGAAAGAGAGAAAGAAAAAAGATTAGTGAGAAAGAAAGAAAGGAAGAAAGAAAGAATGAAAGAAAAATGAAAGAAAAAACCAGCAAATAAATAAGAAAGAAAAATGAGAAGGAAAGAAAAAACAAACACACAAAAGAAACAAGGAAAGAAAGAAGAAAGAGAGAAAGAAAAAAGAAAGAACGATTAATGAGAAAGAAAAAAGATTAGTGAGAAAGAAAGAAAGAAAGAAAGAAAGAAAGAAAGAATATTAGTAGGATAGAAAAACAAATAAATTAGTAAGCAAAAGGTAAAATGACAATGAAAGAAAAACAAACAAATACAAAAAGAAACAAAAAGGAAAAGAAAGTTGGTTGCGAAAAAAAGAAAAAAGATTAATTAGAAAGAAAGAAAAAAGGAAACCGAGAAGGAAATAAAGAAAGACAGAAAGAAATAAAGTTTAATGAGTAAGAAAAATGGAAAAACGAGAAAGAAAGAAAGAAAGAAAGAAAGAAAGAAAGAAAGAAAAAATAAATTAGTAAGCAAAATAAAAGACAAAAAAAAGAAACAAATAAAATACAAAAAGAAAAAAAAAAATGAAAATGAAAAAAAACAAACAAATTTGAAAGAAAAAAAAAAAAAGAAAAAGAAAGACAGAAAGAAATAAAGTTTAATGAAAAAAAAAAAAGAAAGAAAGAAAGAAAGAAAGAAAGAAAAAAAGGAAAAAGAAAGAAGAAAAATAAAATAAATGATTTAGACAGAAAGAAATAAATAAAAACAAACAAATACAAAAAAGTAAAAAGAAAGTTAAAGTGAAAATCCAAAAAATAAAAAGAAAGAAAAAGGAAGAAAGAAATAAAGAAAAAGAAAGAAATAAAGTTTAAATAAGAAAATGGAAAACGAGAAAGAAAAAGAAAGAAAAGAAAGAATATTAGTAGGATAGAAAAACAAATAAATTAGTAAGCAAAAGGTAAAATGACAATGAAAGAAAAACAAACAAATACAAAAAGAAACAAAAGGAAAAGAAAGTTATAAAGAAAAAGAAAAAAAGATTAATTAGAAAGAAAGAAAAAGGAAACCGAGAAGGAAATAAAGAAAGACAGAAAGAAAGTTTAATGAGTAAGAAAATGGAAAAACGAAAAGAAAGAAAGAAAGAAAGAAAGAAAGAAAGAAAGAAAATTAGAAGGAAAGTAAAATGAAAACAAAATTTGTTTAAAACAAATACAAAAAAAAAACAAAAAGGAAAAGAAAGTTGTATAAGCAAAAAAGAAAAAGATTAAAAAAAAGAAAGAAAAAGAAAATTGAAAAAAGAAAAAAGAAAGAAATAAAGTTTAATGAATTGAGAAAAAAAGAAACGAGAAACAAAGAAAAGAAAGAAAGAAAGAAAGAAAGAAAAAAGAAAGAAAAGAAAGAAAAACAAAAAAATTGAAAAGAAAAAAAAACAACCAAATAAAAAAGAAACAAAAAGGAAAAAGAAAATTAGAAAAAAAAAAAAGAAATTAAAAGAAAGAAAAAGGAAACTAAGAAGAAATAAAGAAAACAGAAAGAAATAAAGTTTAATGAGTAAAAAAAATGGAAAAAGAAAAGAAAGAAAGAAAGAAAGAAAGAATATTAGTAGGATAGAAAAACAAATAAATTAGTAAAAAGGTAAAATGACAATGAAAGAAAAAAAAACAAATAGAAAAAAGAAAGTAAAAAGGAAAAGAAAGTTTTTGCGAAAAAAAAAAAGAAAATTGAAAAAGAAAGAAAAAAGGAAAGAGAAGGAAAAAAGAAAGACAGAAAGAAATAAGTTTTAATGAGAAAGAAAATGAAAAACGAGAAAGAAAGAAAAGAAAAAAAAGAAAGAAAAAAAGAAAAGTAGGATAGAAAAAAAAAAAATTAGTAAGAAAAAAGGAAAAATGAAAAAATGAAAGAAAAAAGAAAACAAAAAAAAAAGAAAGAAAAAGAAAAAGAAAGGAAAATCAAAAAAAGAAAAAAATTAATTAGTAAGAAAGAAAAAGGAAAGAAAAGGAAATAAAAACAAAAAGAAAATGAAAAAGAAAAAAAAGAAAAAAGAAAGAAAGAAAAGGTTGAAAGAAAGAAAAGAAAAAGATTAATTAATAAGAAAGAAAAAAGGAAAAAAAGAAAGAAAAAACAAAAAATACAAAAAAATTAAAAAAGGAAAAAGAAAGAAAAAAAAAGAAAAAAGAATTTTTTAGAAAGAAAAAAAAAGGAAATTGAAAAGGAAAAAGAAAGAAAAAAAGAAAAAAAAAGAAAGAAAATGGAAAAAGAAAAAAAGAAAGAAAGAAAAAAGAAAGAAAGAAAGAATATTAGTAGGATAGAAAACAAAAAAATTAGTAAAAAAAAGGTAAAATGACAATGAAAAAAAAAAAAAAAAATAAAAAGAAAAAAAAAGGAAAAGAAAGTTAAAAAAAAAAAAAAAAGATTAATTAAAAAGAAAGAAAAAAGGAAAATGAAAAGGAAATAAAGAAAGACAGAAAGAAATAAAGTTTAATGAGTAAGAAAAATGGAAAAACGAGAAAGAAAGAAAGAAAAAAAGAAAGAAAGAAAGAATATTAGTAGGATAGAAAAACAAATAAATTAGTAAGCAAAAGGTAAAATGACAATGAAAAAAAACAAACAAATACAAAAAGAAACAAAAAGGAAAAGAAAGTTAATTCAGAAAAAAAGAAAAAAGATTAATTAGAAAGAAAGAAAAAGGAAAGTATTTGAGAAGGAAATAAAGAAAGACAGAAAGAAAGAAAAGTTTAATGAGTAAGAAAAAATGGAAAAACGAGAAAGAAAGAAAGAAAGAAAGAAAGAAAGAAAGAAAGAAAGAAAGAAAGAATATTAGTAGGATAGAAAAACAAATAAATTAGTAAGCAAAAGGTAAAATGACAATGAAAGAAAAACAAACAAATACAAAATGAAACAAAAAGGAAAAGAAAGTTAAAAGAAAAAAAAAAAAGATTAATTAGTAAAGAAAAAAGGAAACCGAAAAGGAAATAAAGAAAGACAGAAAGAAATAAAGTTTAATGAGTAAGAAAAATGGAAAAACGAGAAAGAAAGAAAGAAAGAAAGAAAGAAAGAATATTAGTAGGATAGAAAAACAAATAAATTAGTAAGCAAAAGGTAAAATGACAATGAAAGAAAAACAAACAAATACAAAAAGAAACAAAAAGGAAAAGAAAGTTGGTTGCGAAAAAAAGAAAAAAGATTAATTAGAAAGAAAGAAAAAAGGAAACCGAAAAGGAAATAAAGAAAGACAGAAAGAAATAAAGTTTAATGAGTAAGAAAAATGGAAAAACGAGAAAGAAAGAAAGAAAGAAATAAAGAAAGAAAGAAAGAAAGAAAGAAAGAAAGAAAGAAAGAAAGAAAGAAAGAAAAATCAAATAAACAAGCAACAGGGAAAATGAGGATGATAAAAAATACAGAAAACAAACGGAAAAGAAAGAACGAAAGATTAATGAGAAAGAAAAAAGATTAATGAGAAAGAAAGAAAAAAGGAAAAACAAGAAGGAAAGAAAGAAAGAAATATTAGGAAGAAAGAAAGATTGAACAGAAACAAGGAAGAAAAAGAAAGAAAGAAAGAAAGAAAGAATAGGGAAAATGGAAAAGAAAAAAAAAACAAATTTAAATAAACAAACAAACGAAAGGAAGGAAGAAAGAACAGAGAAAAACAAGAAAGCAATAAATAAACAAAAACAAATAAAAGAGAAATAAATAAATATACAAACAAAACTTAGAAAAAAAAAAACAAACAAATAAAGAAACATCTGGATAAAATAAGAAAGAAAGAAAGAAACAAATAAGCAAGCAACAGGTAAAATGAGGAAATAAAACCAGAAATTACCCCCCAAAAAACAGAAAGAAAAGAAACAAACAAATATTAATGAGAAAGAAAAACGAGTAGTGAGAAAAGAAAAAGAGGATAAACTCGAAAGAAAGAAATATTATCAAGAAAGAAAGAAACAAAGAAACAAACAAACAAACAAAGAAGGAAGGACTTGAAACAAGATAAAAAACATGTTACGAACAACAACAAAATTAGTAAAAAGGAAGAACCAAAGAAACATCAGGAAAAAATGAAAAGGAAAAATAGACAGAAACAACGAAACAAATAAACAAGCAACAGGTAAAGTGAGGAAGAAAAGCAATCAATTACAAAGAAAAACGGAAAGAAAGAAAAAAAGAAAAACGATTTGAGAGAAAGAAAAAAGAAAAGACAAGAAAGGAAGGAAGTGATCAAAGAAAGAAAGAAAAAAAGAAAAAATCAGGAGAAAAGAAAGAAAAGTGCCTAAAGGAAGAAAGAAAAACGGAAGAAATCGAATAAAAATGCAAAAAGAAAGAAAGAAACAAAGAAACAAAGAAACAAAGAAAGAAAGAAAATTAATACCGACCAAAAAATGGCGGAAAAATGTGTGAAACGAACAGAAATATAGGAAATAAACTTAGAAAAAAAAAACGATGCCGACAAAAGAGAATAGGAAATCAGGTAACGAATATTTAGAGAAGAAAATACGGAGTGTCAGGATGAGGAAGGGGAGTAAATACATGCGTTAATTGACAGAGATAAGGGGAGTTAATTCCTTTTTTCATGTGACGTCAGACACGCGTAAATCTCCTAACATCAAAATCGTTCTCATTAATTGTAAGTTTTTAAAACTTCTGGATTAATTAATATGTAGTAATCTGATTTTGAAGGCTGACAGGGGAATAATGAGATTATCTTAGTTGGTGTTAGTCATTAAGACTGGAAATCGGCATCGAGGTTGTTAAATGAATATCCTTCTTTCATTATCTTTTACCGCGAGGCATTTTCCAAATGTTGGGCGAACTGTTCAATAATTGTCGACCATATTTGTTTTTCCAACACGTGGACTGGAAATGTGAAACATAATTTTCTTTTCTTCTCAATACTTCAACTGATAACTTCATAGTGATTTACCAATCGTAGCTTAGATGTGGCACAAGGCCACAAGTTTGGAGCACCAAGTGAGGAACGAACTCATTAATCACTCGTAATTGATCGAGTGTAACAAGCACATTACCCATTACAACATGTGAAAGTGTCTACGAAGTTTTAACACTAAAAAACTTACATATTTGACTGTGATAACAACAGAAAAACATGTTGCATATTTTGGTAAATGATGTTCCTTGTGGTGTAGTGAATATCGCCTGGGAATAAGAACTCAGAGATTTTCCTCAGCATCACCACCATTATCATTATCATCCCCTTGGCTTTTGTAATCGTAGGGCGGATCCGAATGCAGAAGCCATACTGAATCTTGTCAACAACGGTCTATCAACGGCAGCCATCAGCAATTCTTGTATAGTCATACCTGTCCATTGTTTGACATTGTCCAACCAGTTTTTGCGTTGGCATCCTCTCCCATGCCCATCTTCAACGGTGCCTTCATAATAGTCTTGCACAGGCTGTCCTGCTTTGTATCTCGTCTAAACCACGCCATTTTTCTGTTTGACAGTGGCGAGATGTTACTGGTGGCCCACAAACCTTTCAACCCTTTTTCCGCACAAATCATTTGATTATATGTTCCCAAAACAATTCCAATGATTTTTTTCATGCATTTGTTTTCAACGCCTTCTCTCCGTTTCTGCCAACAGTGTCCCCATTTCACATCCATATTGGAGAATAGTCTCTACCAGAGATTTGTAGTCTCTACTTCGTTTGAAATCTGGTTTTGCTCCCCCATATTCTTGCCTTTTTGTCCATCGCTTACTTAGCAATCCGTGTGCGGATTTCTGCGTTGCAGGTACCATCTTTATACAAGATTGCTCCCAGGTATTTAAAACTGGACACTTCATCCAGTGAATTAAACTAACTGTACTGTAGTATGCATAATTTGAATTTCTGCAACATCAGAAGGACGTGTTC